ATTCTCCAAACCCATTTGTTTTAAGTTTCAATTTCACAAATGAATCAATTAAAACAAACTAAATAAATTGATAGTTAGTTAAATTACTCTAGATTGAGATTCAAAGATGTTATATTTTGGCACTTCTCCAATCTCATTCCAATGTTCTTAGCTCCATATGCACCAAGGTTATTCTCCCTATATGAAAATAATAAATAATGAATGTGTTGAAAATAATGAAAATAAAATAGAAAAGGAATTAATAAGTGGGTTAATAATGAATGATTTTGCTAAAGATGTTAAAAAGTGGTATTTATTTTGATTATTTTGATATCATTTCAATTTACAAGCAAATAAAATTATGGCTAATAATATAAGAATTTATAAAATAAAATAAAAAATCCTAAAATATAAATACTGTATAAATTTTATCAAAGTCTAAAAAAGAGAATAATAACTTTTTTAATTTATTTTAATATAATTGTAAGTGTAGAGTAAAAAATGAAATGGGAGATATTTAGAGAATTAAATAAACTCTACAATAAATAAATAAATAAAATTTTTAAGTATTTATCTTCAATTTAATTTAATTATTGAATTTTTATATCTCGTTTTGAATTTATATTAATTAATTCTATCTTTCATTTAATTTTGTTAAGCAATTAAAATTTTTAATCACTTTAAATCTGAAAGTTATGAATGAATCAATAAAGATGTCTAAAATAAATGGTTTTTAAAATATTTAACTTTATACTAATTCTGATAAACTATAACTTAATTTGAATGAAAATAAGTAGATTCCATTATGGATTAAAATCTATTTGCATTTAATAATTAATTTTAGGTTATGGAAAAATTACAAATTTTTGTTTAGATACTTAAAAAATTAAAAATAATTTAGATTTATTTAGGGGAGAAAATATCAATTTCTTAAATTATATATCAGGGTTTGATGTCATTTCAATTATTTATTTTAAAAATAAATAAAATGAAATTTGTTTATCTATTTAAAATTATTCAATTATAAAATGTATACTTGAAATCAAGATGTAAGTGATGAACTAACCTTTTTGCAATACATTCCTCGAATTCAGAGAGATTACTGTAACTTTTAAATTTGTACTCATCTAATCTGACTTCATTTTGTTTGTTTGTGTAGTTAAATTTAAGAAAAGATTGTCTGAATTTTGAAATCATCAAATTAGACTCAGTAAAATCCAATTTGTCCTTTACCGCATAAATGAACTAACTTTCTAATTTTAGTCTTAATTGATTTAATTGCTTAGTTAGTCCAAAAGAATCAATTCTATTATTAGGCAAAATTTCAAGCATTTTAATAATAATTTAGTTAATATCTTAATATAAAGCGTTTTTGCTTAGATAGTTAGGTAATTTTCCTTTTCTGATAAAAGTACAATCTCCATCTTCAAGAAACTTTCCTAGGGTTAATTCAAGAAGAATAATTCCTAAGCCATAAATATCATACTATAAATAAAAATTTAATTAAAAATAAGTAAATAAATAATAGAATCCTTTAATAAATTTACTTAGATTTTGAAGAAACCATTATCATCTGTTATTTCAGGAGCTGCATACTTTCTTGTAAATCCTTTGAGCTTTTAAATATTAAGAATGTAAAAAAATACAAATAAAGTGATAGAAATAGCTTCTAATATATAAAGAGTAAACAAAATTTTTTGTATTTTAGAAAAATGGAAAACCTTTGATAGTTTTGAGTAAATTAAATGCTTTAAATGCAAGCGTTGAAATTCTAAAAACAAGTAGTGCTAAAACTAATTGGAGTAGTAATTAAATTTTAAAAATAAATAAATAAATTAATTACATTGTAAGTTTTTGATCCTTCTTTAAATAATTTAGACTCTCCGTAATCACCTTGAAGATTTAAAATAAGAATTTAGGCAAAAATAAACTTATAAATAGTATAAAATTCAACTCAATAAGATTAAAAACAAATTTTATATATTTGAAATATTTATTTATTAAGACTCTAACTATTATTTTGTATATTAATCATTAAACCACAAACGTATTAAAAAAAGAATGAATATTTATTAAAAAGAATAAAGTAATTTTTTATATTTAAAAATATGTGAATTAAAAAAAAACTGAGAAAAACTTTTTTTCTTTTATATAGCTATCTATTGTAATCACATTTTAAGAAGGGGGAAGATTAAAGTAACTTACAATATATTTTGTTTGTTTGAAAAGTTTCTTAATCCAAAAATTAAAAAATAAAATAAAATTTTAAATAACATTAAAAATTTACATAGATTAAAGCATTATTCTTAGCTATTGTATAGGATATTCTCTGGTTTAATGTCAGAGTGAATCATATTATTTTACTAAATTTTTTCAAAGACTGTTGACATATGAATAGCAAAACCAACTATTTAGTTGAGTGGTAGTGTTTTTTTTTAATCAAAGAAGCTTTACATTATGTCTTTGAGATTGCCTAAAAATTTGAATATATTTAGAAACTAAAAAGGAAAATGAATTTTTACATTAATATTTTTTAGAAATCTGATAGTATTTTGTTTTTTTTTCATTTAAAAACTCTTCGATAGATTTAAAGACATAAGGAGTATCCTTTAACAATTACATTATTTTTTCTTCTTCTTTGATTTTTTCAAATTTAGGTTTGCTACATTTGACAGCAACTATTTCTTCATTGTACTTAGCCTCAAAAACACATCCATAACCGCCTTGTGAAATGTAAGATGTTAAGTATATCTTCTTCTTTTGAAGCTCATTGTAAATCGATGTTAGTTCATCTGTATCAAATATCATATTCTCTTCATGTTTCTTTTTATAGTCCTCAAAAATTTTTTTAAATTTTTCTTCAGGTGCCTAATATTTAAGCTCAGTGTCTTGTTATTATTGCATGATTAGTAACAATTGCTAATATATAAAATAATTATAATGTTTAACGAATAAGAATAAAAAATTTTTTTTTTAATTTAAATAATATATTTTATAACGAAATCTTTTTTATTTACCTTTTTTATTCCTTTCTTTTCTTTCAATTAATTTCTTTGTTTTTTTCTTAATTAAATTATAAAAATTTTTTAATTAAAAAAGTATAAAAATTATTAGTTAATTTAATTAAAAATAATAATTAAACTAAAAATAGTTTGTGACTTTCCCCAAAATCTTCAAATCAAATTTATTCTTTTTCATACATAATAATTTAAATGTTAATTAATTTATATCAAGCAAATTCACTTTATCGTATCATAAAATATTATTATTAATTTATCAAAACTAAATAAAAAAGAAAACAAGAATTTTTAAAATTGACCAAATATAAATCTGGTCAAAAGAAATTAAAAGATTAATCATCTTTATTAAAAATATAATAGGCAAAGTTAATTTTCTAATATTTTATCAAAATATTTACTTTTAAAACATTAAATTATCTTCTCATAAATCAAATAAAATAGCAAAATTTAATTCATTTTTATTTTACCTTTAGTTCAATTTTTTTTTTTTTTTTTTTAATAATCTGTTATTAAATATATTTTTAAATTATTTTTTTGAACTTAGCTTTTTGAGTTGCAAGATATTTAAAAAAGTTCTACTTTTGAAAATTCTAGCATATTCTATTAATCTCTAATAATGATATTGAAAAATACAATAAAATACTGATGATGTTAAAAGATTTTTTTATCTTCATTTAAAAAATTAAAGAGTTTATTTTTTAACAAATAAATTTAACTTTAAATTATGAAATTAAAAATTTTTGTAAATTTAACTTTAAAATTATCAAAATGAGCTTATTTAAAAAAAAAAAACATATTAGGTTTCATTTTCCATTTTATTAAAAATAGTATTTTATTCAGTGAAAGAGTAAATAGATTAAAAATTAAATTAAATACTTATTTCCATAAATACAATAATTTATTTATGAATAATGAATGAGTAATAATTTATTTTAATAAAAAATAAGGTTATTTGTGTGTGTTATAAAAGATCATAAATCATTCAACAGAAAGTTTTATTTTTAAATAATAAAAATAAAAACCATTTATAAAATTAATTATTATTTAATCTTATTCAATTTGCATCTTCACTAATATCTTTGTTTTAAGAACTTTAATCCTTAAATTTTTTATCAAGAAATGATTGTCCCTGTTAATAGTTGAAAAATTTTAGTTTTATCACAAAAAAATCATAAATGCAAAATCATTCAATGCTTATTTATATATGATAATAAAATAAATTTAAAATAAAAAAAAGGAAAGTAATCATGTAAAAAGTAGAATATCTATTTTATTAATATTTAATCAACCAAATAAATAACAATATAATTATAAAAAACAAATAAACATAATTTACTAAAAGTCAAGTTTTAAAACAGAGAGATTAGAGCACTTTGATAAAGCATATCCTAATTCTGATGCACCGAGAGCACCAATTTAATTGCTACTTTTTGATATTTAAAAAAATTGTTATTCTTTAAAATGGTAAAATATAAAGTATAAAATCAAAGTCTAAATAAAATTTAAAAGAAAATACATTATAATCAGTATGGATAAATAAACAAATAATTGTAAAGTTTAAATAAATTTAGTAAATAATATAGAAAGAAATTAGATATGTTTTTTAATTCAACTTAAAATATTTATAATGGAAATTGGATAACAAAATAATGCTTCCCTTTAAAAGATTGGTTTATCTCTTACAGCTGAATGATTTATTTGGCTGTATATAAAAATTTTACTACTCTGTCTTTTAACTTTGTTACTATTTACCTCCTTATTGTAGTGCATCAATTAAAGCAGAGTAATTGGTTAGTATTTCAAAGGGTTCTTTCTATTGCCATCAAAGAGAAAAGATTTTGCCAAGAGGATCAAAATGTATTAGAAAGCTTTCTAAGAGACATTTGTATGAGATTCTATAGGATTTGATAAAAAAAGAAACTTAAAGAGCTTGGCTTTGATCTTAATAATCTTCCTCCGAGGTAGTTCCTCTTAGATATGATTTATCTATTTGATTTAAAAATGAAATCTTCAGCTTAAAGAATAAAATTGAGAGAGATAACCACTAAATAGATTTCCTTGTTCAGTAAAATTTACTAATTTATCTATTTATTTTTTAATTTTCTTTTTGTCAATTTAAGAAAATAGATAAAAGGATCATACCAGATTGTTAAGGTGACATTTTTAAAAGAACCAAAGAATAGATTCTTCAGGATACTCTAAAGGCTAAAGAAGAAAAGATTAAAAAGAAAAATTTCAGTCTTGCTATGCTTAAAGAAGAACAGAGGAAGGTAGAGTAGAGTTTGGCTAGATTTGACTATCTCTAAAATGATATGGGAGAATAATGAATGAGACTTTAAAAATCTTAACAAATTTCCTTCCCATTACCTATTAATGACATAATTCTAATTAATTTTTATTTCTTATATATGTGATTATTATTACAATTAGAATTTTTTCTATTTATTTCATGAATAAATAATTAATTTTATATTTTTATATTTATTTTATTTTTAAATTCTTTCAATTCTATTATATATAAATAATAGTAAATAATTAAAAGAATACTGAGGATTGAGGAATTGCTTTCTAATTTTTTTCTTTTTTTTCTCTCTAATTTTTCAAAGATATTCTGATTAATTAATATCAGAGTTATTTCTCTGGATAAAATTATGGATCCAAGAAAATTAATCACTTGATAAAAACTATGAATAAATGACTAGAAAAATCAAAAGTTAAAAATAAATATTTTATTTAATTCTAAACAATAAATTCCTTCATTTACCAATAGATGAATTAAATAGTTACAATGTTAATTAAATTTTATCCTAAAAACTTTACTAATTAAAAAAATATAAAAGAATCTAAAAGAAAATAAGAAATTATCAATATAATTAGTATTGATTAAAAATTTTTGAAATACAAAATATATAATAAAAAATAATAATTTGTGAAATAAAAATTAAGCAAATAGATAATTAGATATCGTATTTGATAATATATAATTTAGTCTACTTTATTATCTTTTTTTTATCATTAGTTTCTTAAAATTTATATTATAAAGAAACCTCTAATCAATAAGATTTAGGAAAAAAAATTCATAATTAATATAAAAATTATTTGAAATATCACAAATCATGTATGATATAATTAATGGTTCATGATATTTCAAATGCAGAAACAGCATGGATACTAAAATATATTATAATCCACTTAAATAAATAAATAACTAAATAAAAATTATATTTTGTTGATTTTGATGTAGAATTATTTGAAACATTACTTACTTATTAAATATAAATAGAAAATCAAAAAATAGTAAGTATGACAGTAAAAAAAAGATAATTAGATTTATTTATCTAACTAAAGCATATTTTTAAAAGATTTTTATATCAAATATATAAAAAACTTATTTTTAATTAATATTTTTTATTTTTATCATTTTTTGTCATTAATTAATCTGGTTTTTAATTAATGATAATTTAGAGTATAAAATAAATACTATTCAGGATTTAAAAATTTTATATTGAAATATGTTTCTCCTGGTTTCTATTATTTTAATATTTGTCTTGAATTTCATGTTAGTGAGCTCTGTAAATTTTAAATTCCCATGGAAGACAGGATTAAAGAAAATCAAAAAAAGGTAGAAACTTTTATTTAAATTATATAGAAAAGAGCTCAAATCTAGACACTTTAATTAACTCAAAAAAATAAATGTAGATGCTTTTATTAAAATAATATAGAAAAGAGTTCAAATCTAGACTCTTTAATTATTTAAAATATTTGATTAAAATTTACTTGATCTTTTGGTATAAAAATATCTATTTATATTTAAGTTATATAAAGATTTATTAAAATTTTTAAATTAATTAATATTCATAAACTTTTTAAAAAGACAAAATATATAAATAGAAAAATGAATATTCCTGAATATATAGAGGAATGCAGAGTTAAGTATCTGACTGAGTTTCTTAACTCAAATTTTTAAAACAAGAAACACTTGTAAATCGCTTTAATGTAAGGCATAATGACATTAAAAAATTTAGGTCTTTAAAATATTCAGTTAATTACAGATTATTTTGTAGTAATAAATAAAAAGAACAATCTAAAAAAAAAACTTATTAAATAAATATTGAATCTTAATAATATATTTTTTTGATAATTTAACAGCAGATTCATTATAATTTTATTTATTAATCCATTCAATAAAATCCTACAATGAAATGTCACAAATTCAAGTTCTATTTAAAATATTTTTATTTTCTGAGAAATTTAAAAGTATTAAATTAAGCTTTCTTAATAATTTCAAATTCATTTTTTAATTATAAAAAAAACAAAACTAAATTTAAATTTTAAAAATTCTTTGAAGTCCTTAATCACACAATTAATTTGTATATAAACACATCATATTCCTCATTTAAATATGTTATTTTTAAGAAAAGGCAAAGAGATATTTGATGCACTATAATAATGTCAAGATCTAACAAATTTAGATATCGATTGTGATGCAATTTCATCTTATGAAGAAGATTTTAATTAAGTGTGGCTAGGATTGTCAAAATGTTAAAATCTAACTACTTTATCTTGCTCTTTTTAGTAAATATTTTTAAATTAATTAAATTATTTGTAAAAATTAACCAAATATTAATTTATGTGAAATTTATTTTTAACTAAATAAATAAATAAAATAAAACATTTTTTAACTAACTTAAATATAAAGTATAATTATTATCTTATTTATTTATTCTACTAATAAAGTGAGTGTTGGTTAGAATCAGTTAGTTTTTTTGAGGGAATATCAAATCTCCCAAATCTTAGAACATTTAATCTATCTTGGTGTTACTATTATGTTGAGTAAGTTTAATTATTTCTTTTTTTAATTTTGAATAAATAAGAAATAAAAAAAGCATAAATAATATTTAGTTAGTTTTATTTTTTCCTTTAATATATAATAAGTTTAATAATTTTTAAAGGATTAAATTATCTTTTTTATTTTATTTAATAAAAAATTATTTAACAAATAATAAAATTTTATACTTAAACTTTAAATAGCAAATTCAATGAGTAAAAGGATTTCTTCGAAGGAATATCAAAATGCAAGAATGTTAATCATATGGATTTAAATCTATAGTAAATTATTAGTATCTTTTTTAGTTGCTTTAATATGAAAAAGAATATTTTGCTTAACATAATTTATATTTTCATTAAATAAGTTAGATTATTTTTATGAAAATGTAGTATTATTTATTATTGATTTAACAAAAAATAAACAAATATATTTTAAGCTAAATAATAAAATATCTTATTTTAAGAATAAGAGAACTTGATGATGATATACTTATTTAATTAGGCACTGCGTTATCTAAATGTATATAACTTGAAACATTAAATTTAAGTACTCAGTAAAATGGTTTTCAATTTCTTCTAAAATATATTTTTAAAATTATAATAATTAATTAATTTAAATAGTTTCTCCTAAATTAATACTAAATTTAATTTATAAAAAAAATTGATACAATACCATTTTTTTTGAATGTAATAACTAACTAAAGAAAAATATAAGCTTTTTATTAAAATACAAATTCACTTAAATTGATTTATAAAAATTTTTAATTTTTGGACAAATAGGCTATTTATAAATATTTTTATGCGTGAAATTTACTATTCACATTATTTATTATGGAGAAATTAACTAAGTTAATTTATGATTTTTTTTATTAAATTATAAAAAAAAATTATTTTTTCTTATTTTATATTAATTAATATTTTTTTAAAAGTGTCTGTTTTGAATAAAATTCAATACTAAGTTAATAAAGTGTTTTCTCATTACTAAACTAAATACAAAAATGCAAAAATCTTAAAAAGTTGAAACTGAGTATCTTGTAAGATTTAATTATTTTATTTTTTATTAAATTACTCATATTTGCTAAATTAAAATTCTTAATCAAAAGTGGTTAAATGTAAAATGAAAAAGAGTTAGAATCATAAAAATATAAGTTAGAACCTTAAGAGGAGTTTATTTATGAAAATGATTTCACTAAAACTTCATTAGATATTGAAATAAAGTAATTATTTATAATATAGCTATAATTACTTGAATGTATTATTAAACAAATTATATTTATCTATTATAGAGGCATAGTACAAAATTAAGAATATGAAACGAATTTAATAAATTTCATTTAAAGACACAAGAGTTTAACTTATTTTAGATTAAAGTAAATTTTTTTTTGAAAATTATATAAAAGGAAAGAATGAAATAATAATTTCAAAACTTATTTTAATTAGAAAAAAATAAATAGAGTTTAATTTATTCAAATTTTTATTTTAAAAATTACTAATAAACGATTATTAACTTTACAATAGTTTACCGTCCTTTAAATAGCTAGATAAACTCACTGAAGCTCTTACAGAAAGTCCCCATCTTGAAACTGTATAAATTAAGCTTGATTAAAATAAGTAAATAATTTTTTGTCAGCACAGACAAATTATAGTTTATATTTATTAACATTTCAATATTTACTGAAACTGACTTTGCATTTTATCTTAATTAATTACAAATTTCTCTAAATATTTTTTCTTTTTCTCTCTATTCTTGCTGCAAAATCTAAAATATTTGACTATCTTCTTTTATCCAAATCCAATGGTTTTTATTAAAATCTAATAAATTTATTAAATGATTTTAAATTATATTTTTTAATAAAAGCATGTTTTCTTTGATCGATGAATTAATTATCAAGAATACTTGCTTAAACTACCATAACTTAAAAAAATTGGACCTTTCTATGATGTAATACTATTCTAAACTTACTTATTTAATTAAAGCTTATATAAAATATATTTTAAGATATTTTCTGGCACTTAAAAAATACATAATTTTTAATCAAAAAGATTTTATATGGAAACAATAACTCAAATGAATTTTCTTGCTTACTTTCTTTAAAATTTTAAGAATTTTGAAGACTTAAATCTTTCAATAAGGTAAATTAATTTTATTTGCAAATTGTGTGAAAAAATTTATAATTTAAGCATAAAACAAATACTTATGCATCTTTAATTGTATTTAATTTTTTCTAAACAAAATTAGATGTGATAATATTTATTTTGAAAAAGAATAAAATATTATTTATTTGAAGTCATTTTTTTCTGCTATTTAATCCTGTATGCTGCTCACTAAGCTAACTCTAAGATTAAAGTAAATAAAGTTACTTTCCTTTAAAAATAAATATTGATTTATATTTTCTTTCTTAGTTTTATTCAAAAATTAAATTTAAAAATAAAATTATTTTTCTAATATCTAAATTTTTTTTTATTAATTTAAAATTTTCTATTTATAATTAAAAGCATAATTGATAAATAGAACTAAATAATTAGTGATCTATCTAATCATTTGGCTAATCTCTAAAAATTAGAAACTTTAGAATTATATTTCTAGTAAAAATATTACTTTAATTTTAAAATTCATAAATATTAATAAATAAGAAAAATATTAATCAATTAATTTGTTATTTTGGAATTGTTAAAACTATAATTTGATATTTTAATTTAAATTAATTAAATTCTTAATTAACTAAATTTGTTGGTATTTTTAAAAAAGAATACATAAATGTGATGAAGATTTTGAATTTGAAAAGCTATTTCTTCCTTTAAATAGTTGTTAAAATCTGAAAGCTTTAACTTTAAATATATACAATTCGCTTTAATTTGGTATAGTTATAAGTCCTAATCCTTAAATTCGTAATAAGAGCATTAGGTCATTAAAAATTATGTAATGTTTTTGTTTTGTTAGAATTTAAAAGAATACTTTTTCAAATAATTTGTTGATATAGTTTAAAAATTTATTTTTATTTTAAAAAAAAGTGAAACATATTTCTGTTTCTTAGATAATAGAGACATATCTGTTAATTCTTTTAACCTAATTAAAATATTTTAAGGATATTTTGAAAATCTGTCTGAACTTTCTTTTGATAGTTTTAATGAGTAAAAAATATATAAATTTTTAAATTAAAATTAATATTTTGTAAAATTATTTTTGAATTTTATTTAATGTTTAAAATTTATTTATAGTAGAAAGCATTTTAAATTTTGATCACTACTATTAAAAAAATATCATAATTGAAAACAAAATATAAAGTTTAATAATAAAAAATTATCTTTAGACATAAAAGCTTAACTTATTTTTTTTTAGACAAACAAAATATCATATTTTGCAAACAAATATCAGATTTTGTTTTCAATTATGATATTTTTTTAATAGAAATGATCCAAAATTTAAAATACCCTCTACTATATTTTAGTTAACTAATTACTTTTAATTTAATTATATTAAAAAAATATTGAAGCTTTCGTTAGGATTTTAATTCTTTAATAAATTTCGCAAGTCTTACTAAATTAAGTATTTAAAGGTAAAAATATTTTCTTATGAGTAAATATTTTATTAAATTAAACTATTTTTAACATTTTTTATTAAATTTGCTTTAAAACATATTGTTATTTTTTAAAAACTTCTCTTATATTAAAATTTATATTAATATAAATAAGTATTTGGAGTTTAAGGAATATTAAATTTGATTTTTGGTCAGCTTTAACTAATTTTTGCAATCTCACTTGCTTAGAATTAGAATTTGAGTAATAATAATTTTTTTTTGCTATTATTAACAATTTTTAAATAAAAATTGAATAAAACAAATTTAAACTTTTTAAATAATCTTTATAGTGAATAAATTGATGAATTCTAAAACATGTTTGATGCCTTATCAAAATTCAAAAGCCTAAGATAATTCAAAATAAAATCTGGGTAAGCATTTTTTTAAAATATTTAAAGCACAAAAAGAATTCTTATAAAATCTAATGTTAATTAATTGAAGATATTATTTTTGATAATGTTTTTTGATTATTATTAGTATACATAATAGCTATAACGAATTTGATGCTCTCATTAAATAATTTTCAAGAAAAATAAATTGCAATAATATCCTCAATACATTTGAGTTTTTAATTCATTTAAGGTAAAATTAATAAATAAATTGATTAATTTGTAAATTAAAAAATGATAACCAGCCACCATTCAATTAAATTAAAAAATATTTTTCAATATTTATATAAAAAGTTCTTCATTTGTTAAATAGGAAGATTTTTTGAAACAAAAAATTAGAAATAAACTAATTAATTTTAAGAAGCTAGTAAATCTGAAAGTTTTAGTTTAATTTTGATTTATTAAAATATATTTTATATGTAGAAGTAATTAAGTATAGATATAAATATATATATTTTATTGTTTTTTCTTAAATATATTTAAATAGCTCTATTTTTACTAAAAAAATTCATGTTCATCTTTTGGTAATTTCACTGACAATTTAAATTAGATTTTATAAATTAGTCAGCTAAAATTAATAATATAATAGCCTTTTTGTCAATGATAATTACATCTTGAAAGTACAAAATTAAATGAAAGTTTTTGCAATCCTTATAACTTCAAGAAATTTAAACTTTTTTTATTTTAATATAATAATTAGATTTATTGAATGAATATTTTATAATTCAAAAAAAATCTTAATAAATTATTTTTATTATTTTTAATAACAAATAATCTTTCCAATTTATTTATTTAACTAAAATACTAAATATAATTTTTGTTGTGTCTGAATACCAGCTTGTAATATAATGTATTTAACTATTTATTATTTAAACTAACTATCATGAATAAATAAATTTTAATTGCTTTTTAAAGATATTTCAAGTTTCAATATTTTTTATTCAATTTTTATAGTAAAAGAGCAAACAAAGAGATGCTCCTCTTTTAAATTTTTTTTGAATCTATGAAATCAAACTAAGATATATATAAACATATTTAAATAAACAAACACATTGCTTAGGCAAGTATTTTAGATAACTAACCCCAATTAAAGATCATTAATATACTAGGTTTATCCAAAAGATCATAGTATTGAATTTTTATTATTTAAAATGATAGAATTTTTAAGCCTTATTCTCTTATTTATATTATTTTGATTCTCCTCATTTTTGATAATAGATATTTATAAAAATTTGAATCATTTAGATATTCTCCTCATTTTTGATAATAGATATTAATAAAAATTTGAATCATTTAGATATTCTCCTCATTTTTGATAATAAATATTTATAAAAACTTCAATCATTTAGATATCAGTTATATTATAAATATTATCTATCAAAATAAATGAAAAATTCAAAATAAGAAAACATTAAATTTTTTATAAAAGTTAGAAGTCTACTTATAGTTAGTTAGTTAGTTAGTTAGTTAGTTAGTTAGTTAGTTAGTTAGTTAGTTAGTTTGTTTGTTTGTTAGCTAGCTAGTTAGTGATATATAGATTTATAACTGATTAGAAGAAACATTAGTAGATAACTAACCTTCCTATTCTTGTTTTACAAAGTGGTTGAGACTTTTTATGAAAGTAGAAATACAGTAAAATATTTAAATAGAATTATAGACCCTTTAACTTCCTCTACAGAAGAAAACATTTATAGATACCATTAACAAATTGGTTTAAGAAAATCCAAATTATTCAATTGAAGATATACCAAAAGAACTAGATTTAGTACTGTTCAATAGATTGTGAGCTAGAGTTTAGGTTTGAGAATAATATTGAATAGATTTGTTCTTTATAATTTAACATAGAAAAATATGCTTAAAAAGGTTTAATTATGCAGAGAAATTTAGAAAACACAATAATCAGGTTAATGGAAATTAAAGAATATCATCACTGAAATGAAAGATGGCTTTTTTGGAGATAACTAACTTAATACAGCATCTTAAATCCAATCATGGTGAAGAAGCAATTAAGCGTTTTGTACATAAATAAAAAGAATTTAATTTGAAAAGAAAACAATGAATGTATAAAATATTTTTTATAAAAAATGAGTGGATTAGATCACCTAAATAAATAATGGTTGTACTATTTATTACACATGAATCATACATTAATATGATTGCTTAGAAAATATCTTTGATGACAAACTTAAAAATTAGAGAAGAAAATTTGGAACTTAAAAAATTAGTTTTTCATAAAAAATTAATTAAAAGGCCTTTCTTTTTAATAAAATCATAGGTAGATCTATTAGATAAATTCTGACAAATTTAACCTAGAAACTTTACTAAATTAATTTTTTAGTGATTTGAATGTAAAATCAAAATAAGAAATTTCAAATCTATATTCAGAAATAACTCATCATATTTATCTACTGATGTATATCCATCATAATCGTGATATTTCCATTACTAAAAACAATAAATTCCATAAATATTTTAGAAGTTATCACAATATAGAATTAACAAAAGATTAATAACTAGTAGTTTCTTTAGAGATAAAGTTTGAAGATTACATAAACTGGTCAGTTGATGTTTAATAAGAAAATCTAGATTTATACAATTCACTATTTAAATAATAGCAATAATAAAAATAATAATGGAGTTTACCATTTGAATAACAAGAGTAGTTTGAAAAACATTTTGTGAAATTCTAAAGTTACTTCAAGCTTGAAAAAAATTAAAAAATAGAAGATAATAAAAATGAAGAAGAAAACGAAATGGAATTAGAAATTCCAAGTTAAAATTAACTGAAAGAAAACAATATAGATAAAAATTAAGAATATGAAGCTGAACTTTCTTTGCTTACTAAATTAAAAAATATGTTAACTATTTGTTTTGAGCATAATCTAAAAAAGAAAACTAATTTTAAATTAGAAATTGTTAACAGTAATACAATCGATTTTAAAAGTTATTATACTTATTATGATTATGATTATTACAATATTTCTTCAGAGTTTATAAAAGAAAGCTCTAAAATCCTTTAATTAGATATTAAAAAATACAACTCTTAAGCAAGCTTCAATTTTGCTTATGTATAAGAGAAAATTTTGATTCTCGAAATATTAAATGAATGTGAATTCTGCTATTAAGAGCTGAGAAAGGAAGATTTTTCTCTTTTAAATATTGAAAGGCTAATTAAAAAAATGATGTTTAATTCTAAAGCTGATTAAGAGTATAATTAACGTTCAAAATTAAATTTTAGAATGCTGTAAAGGTTTGATAATTTATAATAATTAATCTTAGATTTAGCTGATCAAGATGTGGGTAAATTTTTGAAGGACAACCCATAAATATAATTATTTAAATAGTATTAAAGGATTCAATCTTTAAAGCTTTATATTGATAATCAAACACAAGGATTATCTCATTTAATAAGATAAATTAATTTAAATAGAAACATAAACACGGTTGCACTTAAAAAAAATGACTATTATGAAGAAATCACCTTTTAATAGAAATAATTCAGAAAATAAATATTTAAGTTGAAAAGATTAGTAGTTTTTGACAGGCATAGAATGGATGAATAGTTACAAAATTGATTTATTTCAATCAGTTAGAATATTAAAAATTAATATTTTATTTTTTTTTTATCATAGATTTACTGTATCTTCATGTTGTATTTTTTTAATTTTGTTTAAACTATATTTTTTTCTTTTAAAGTAATTTTCAAATTTATTTTTATTAATTTGTTTTGCTAGAGTTATAATTTTAAATTTAGATTCATAATATTTGTAAAATATGTGTATGTTCTGTATTACTTCTATTATAAATTAATGAGATCCTTATTTTTATTTAAATAATTGGTCTTAGATTGACTTAAAATAAGGTCAATGTATCCTATAATAAACTAAAGGTTTATTGTCATCTATCTCTAATGAAATGGTTAAGCTTCATTCAAAAGTCAAAAGGAGAATAAAATTTTTTCTAAGATAAATTGTTAAATTTGAATGGTTAGTTGAAAAAGGTAATAAATATAGAGTAGAAAAGAGAGTGAAGAGATAAATTTTTAATGACAGTATACTCTAAATCTTCATTAATTAAGAGCAGTATAAATTAAAGGCCAAAAAAAGTTTTTATGGAAATTCATGAAAAAACAAATTAAATCTTCATTTTTTATTTTTTTCTTCTATCTGGTTAGAAACCTGCTTTAAAATTTTTATTTCTTTTAATTTTTTTAATTAAATAATAAATATTATTCTACTTAATTAATATTTTTTACTCAAGAAATAATTATCCAAAAATAACAATAATTATAAAGAGTTTCTGTTTAGAGTGTACTAATAAAATAATTTAGTTACAACAATCCTAATAGTTTTGATAATTATTATAATTATTAAAATAGTAAAATTATATTTTAATCAATATGTTTTTTAAAGTCTATCTTTGTTTAAAAAAAAAATAATACAGGAAAAATGCCTTAAAATTTTACTATTAAAATATATTAATTAATAAATAAATTTAATTTAAATGAAAAAACATTTTTATGAATTTTAAAATGTTGTATTTATGCATTATAATAATAATTTTAATTTGTTATTTATTTATCAATTTAATAAGATTTATTACATTTAGAAAAAGACATTCATATATAAAAAATATTTATAAATGGATACTTAAAAATTGTGATTAGCTGCATTAATTTATCAATACAAATAAAAATATCATATTTTCTAATTTTTTGTATTTTTTATCAATTGTCCATTTTAATTTTGAATTTGTGTTCGAAATCTTCAAATCTATAAAATATATAAATAAGCTATAAATAAACTAAAATAGAAAAATGAAAATAATTTATTAATCTGTGATGAATAATTTTGCTAAACATATTGAAAAGTGTTTATTTATTTTGATGCAATTCATTCGAATAATTGTTTCAATTCGTAAACAAATAAATTTAGATGTACAAAAATTAAACAAAAAAATCAAAAAACAATTTATGAGCTGTGAATCAATCAATCAATTAATTCTCCATACCCATTTGTTTTAAGTTTCAATTTCACAAATGAATCAATTAAAACAAACTAAATAAATTGATAGTTAGTTAAATTACCATAGATTGAGATTCAAAGATGTTATATTTTGGCACTTCTCCAAGCTCATTCCAATGTTCTTAGCTCCATCTGCACCAAGCTTATTCCACCTATGAAAATAATAAATAATGAATGTGTTGAAAATAATCAAAATAAAATAGAAAAGGAATTAATAAATGGGTTAATAATGAATGATTTTGCTAAACATATTGAAAAGTGCTTATTTATTTTTGATGCAATTAATTGGAATAATTGTTTCAATTCGTAAACAAATAAATTTAGATGCACAAAAATTAAACAAAAAAAAAATCAAAAATCAATTTTTGAGCTGTGAATCAATCAATCAATTAATTCTCCAAACCCATTTGTTTTAAGTTTCAATTTCACAAATGTATTAATTAAAACAAACTAAATAAATTGATAGTTAGTTAAATTACCATAGATTGAAACTCAAAGATGTTATATTTTGGCACTTCTCCAAGCTCATTCCAATGTTCTTAGCTCCATCTGCACCAAGCTCATTACTCCTATGAAAATAATAAATAATGAATGTGTTGAAAATAATGAAAATAAAATAGAAAAGGAATTAATAATGAATGATTTTGCTAAAGATGTTAAAAAGTGGTATTTATTTTGATGCAATTTATTTGGAATATTTGTTTGAATTCGTAAACAAATAAATTTAGATGCACAAAAATTAAACAAAAAAAAAATCAAAAAACAATTTATGAGCTGTGAATCAATCAATCAATTCTCCAAACCCATTTGTTTTAAGTTTCAATTTCACAAATGAATCAATTAAAACAAACTAAATAAATTGATAGTTAGTTAAATTACGATAGATTGAGACTCAAAGATGTTATATTTTGGCACTTCTCCAAGCTCATTCCAATGTTCTTAGCTCCATCTGCACCAAGCTCATTACTCCTATGAAAATAATAAATAATGAATGTGTTGAAAATAATGAAAATAAAATAGAAAAGGAATTAATAATGAATGATTTTGCTAAAGATGTTAAAAAGTGGTATTTATTTTGATGCAATTTATTTGGAATATTTGTTTCAATTCGTAAACAAATAAATTTAGATGCACAAAAATTAAACAAAAAAAAAAATCAAAAAACAATTTATGAGCTGTGAATCAATCAATCAATTAATTCTCCAAACCCATTTGTTTTAAGTTTCAATTTCACAAATGTATTAATTAAAACAAACTAAATAAATTGATAGTTAGTTAAATTACCATAGATAGAGATTCAAAGATGTTATATTTTGGCACTTCTCCAAGCTCATTCCAATGTTCTTAGCTCCATCTGCACCAAGCTCATTACTCCTATGAAAATAATAAATAATGAATGTGTTGAAAATAATCAAAATAAAATAGAAAAGGAATTAATAATGAATGATTTTGCTAAAGATGTTAAAAAGTGGTATTTATTTTGATGCAATTTATTTGGAATATTTGTTTCGATTCCTAAACAAATAAATTTAGATGCACAAAAATTAAACAAAAAAAAAATCAAAAAACAATTTATGAGCTGTGAATCAATCAATCAATCAATTAATTCTCCAAACCCATTTGTTTTAAGTTTCAATTTCACAAATGAATCAATTAAAACAAACTAAATAAATTGATAGTTAGTTAAATTACGATAGATTGAGACTCAAAGATGGTTATATTTGGCA